AATAAGCTTTATCTAAAGACAGAAATTTGGTTAAATTGAAATTAGTCTCCAAATTAAAAAATACACCCTATTGTCTGGTTGGGAAGATAGCTCAGTGGAAGAGGAGCACAAACCTGAGTTTGACTTCAACACTGCAAAAAATTAAAATATCCCCTGCAAAGTCTAACTTCAGAATAAAGATTGGTGTCATTTTTCACAGGGAGAGAGTGATAATTGTCAATTCTGTTACGTACTCTAGTAACCGCCACTTTTCTGGGAGTGGGTAGGGGGTGTACCAGGGGTTGAACTCAGGAGCACTTCACCACTGAATCACATGCCTAGTCCTATTTTGTATTTTATTAGAGGCAGGATCTCACTGAGTTGCTTAGCATCTTGCTTAATTGCCAAGGCTGGCTTTGAATACATGATCTTCCTGCCTCCGCCTCCCAAGCCTCTGGGATTATAGGCCTGTGCCACCACGCCTGGCCTGTAACTGCCACTTTTTAAGCTAGCTGAGTGTGTTAAACATGAACATCTTAAAGAAATTTATAGCAACCTCACCATTTCCATTTTGAGTTGGTACTATAAAATGTACTGCTCTTACTACAACTGTACCCTATGTTAATGTATGTCATAGAGAAACTATGCTTAGGCAGAAGAATTTTGTTTTTTCCTTAAATTCATTTTCTGAAAAGAATGGAAAACCTAAATTGGCTTGTCAGTATGTTTTTGAAATAGACTTGTGATTGTAGAGTCGAACACTTTAAAAATTTAAAAATTCTTTAAAATCCAAGAAACTACCTTGCAATTGGGACTGTTAAATAAATCCAAGTATTTATGCCAACTGTCATTCAAGCTTAGCAGTAGAGGAAGCTTGGCATAGGAGTCCAGCTCTGCCTTTGCTTGAGCAGGACAGACCAGCTGCCTTCCAGCCCAGCTGAGTGCCTTTACCTTGCGAATTCCATTCCTGTGATCCCCTCTTGTTTGTCTTACAGAATCTGCCCCCACCCCCCACAAAATAATGGTCTTTTCTAAGTAACAAAGTACAGGAAGACATCTCTCTTTTCTCCTCCTCTAATTGCTGGGTATACTTCCTAAAACTATTCTTTAGGATTTTCTAACTCTCTTTTATTTTGGTCTTCTAAAGCGCAGCCTCAGAATGGAGAACATATGCCACAGCAGCTGACCCAGTCTTTCCACATGGAAAGTGTCTCTTACACTGGGCCACAGTGTCACTGATACAGATATTTTTGAGTAAATTTGTATAGAATGGGACATTTAAGCTGAGACAAGACAAGTTGTGGAGGTTAACCAGTTAATAGCTGGGACAGCCCTGTAGAGGGGCAGCACCAGAGGCCTGGTGGACAAGAGAGGGTGTGGCTAAAGGCTAGCTTAGTGGAGTCCTCCTGTGTGGGGTGGAGGGATGCCACCACTCATTCCTCTGAACCAAACTGCTTTTACTAAGTGTTATACAACAGCCTGTTCCAGGAAAAGAATCTCCCTGTCCACTGTCCAGTGCCTTTTCCAAGAGTACAAGGCTTCGAGTGCTAAGATAGAGCAGTAAAAATGCTTCTTTACTTGCAAAACTACTATGCAGTGAGGCGGCATTCTCCATTTTCGACCTAAGTACTGTCAATTAGGACACCACAGAGAAGGTGAACCTTTTTCATTTTATTTCTGATCCATTGAGTTTCCTACTGGGAACAGAAAAAGCAACTTAATTCAGAAGGCTTTCACTGGAATATCACCTTAGGTGAAGGGAGAGGAAGCCCTGGAGGGGCCGAGTCCTTGCCCACTGATCTGTCTGACCTTGGAGGTTAAGTCAAGGGCCCCAGGTGAGCTTTCTAGAACAAGAACAGGGGTACATAGAAAGGTTCGTGATTTAGAAGGAAATTTTAGTTTCAGTTCCCTTAGTGTCTGTGGTCCTTAAGACACTAATAGTATACTTTTGCAGTGGCCAGCAACGCTCCCGACGTGGGCCCGTGGTGTTCACTTCACTGTTGATGGAAGGAAGAGGGCGTCTGCTAAAGTTTCAGAATCGGTGAGTCTGTGGCTTTCTGCTGCATTAAACAGCTTTGTTGGCCTAGAGGGATCATAGCCTAGACCAGTTCATTTCAGTGCATTCACATATTGCACATATTTAAAGAAATTCTCTTGGATATTCAATCCATGCTCAAATTATTTTTAGTATAATAATAGTTGTACAAATATTTACAGATATTGACAGTTTTGCTTGTAAAGTTCTTAATGTGTCTATAGATTAGATACAAATGAATAGCATTTGCAGTGGTGAAAGATGGATTCTCTACTCACAGTAGGGCTGTGTAGCCACATGAGTGTAGTCTTTTTTTTTTAATATTTATTTTTTAGGTGTAGATGGACACAACACAGTGCCTTTTATTTTTATGTGATGCTGAGAATCTAACCCAGGTCCCGCCCGTGCTAGTCAAGCGCTCTACTGCTGAGCCACAATCCCTGCCCTGAGTATGGGGTCTTTTGAGTTTAGTGTTCCTGTTCTGCTCTTTGTGAGAATGCTGAAGTTTGCTTACGGCTTCTTACCTCAAGCTCATGGTGGTCGCTGCATATCCTGGCACCTTCTCATAGGAGCCTGACTTGGGTCCATGCCAGGTCAAGTGCAGTGTGCATACCTAGAATAAAACAGCACTGCAGAGTTCTAAGTGGGGACGTGAGCATGACAAGAGTGGACGAGTAAGAATGATATATGCAGAGCTGGAACTCACTGTTGTTGCTTTCCTCTGCCTCTGTACTCCCCAGTTGACACGTTGGGGTCTTAGTGGTTTTAAGCCTCCTTAGAAACGGATTTTTTTAAAAATTGTATCTCTAAGTGTGTAATATTTCAGCTAATGTTGTGTTTCCTGGTCCGTGGGATAGAACCTCTGCTATTCATTAAGTTGTTGATCCCCCTTCCATGAGGCTGCCCCACTGGGCATGTGTGCTTGGCCCTAGGATAAGGTTGGGGACCTCTATGTGTCATTGCTCTTTCCTTTTGATTACTCCCTTCATTTTCTTTAGGCTAATTAATCTGCTATCACCATATTCTGAATATTAGGCATAGTTGAATGTGTGATTGACAGCTGAATTTTCTTTTCTAGATTTCTACTCAGTACCCAGTGGTGGATCATGAATTTGATGCAGTGGTGGTAGGTGCTGGCGGGGCAGGCTTGCGAGCCGCATTTGGCCTTTCTGAGGCAGGGTTTAATACCGCATGCCTTACGAAGCTCTTTCCTACCCGGTCACACACTGTCGCAGCACAGGTAAGAGAAAGTTTTCTCTCAGTGCTCTTGGTGCAACAGTGAGGCTCTCTACCTCAGCAACCTCCTGCCTTCTCCGCGAGCTCCTTCTTGTTTGCTAGCTCCCACTGGCTCACTCTCACTACTGGGCCTCTTCCCTGGGACCTGTGTGGCTTCTCACATGCAAGTCTTTTCTGTCGTGCCCAGTCCTGCTTTTGCCCCTGTGGTTCAGTTGCCTTTGCAGCCTTCACATGTTTGAAATGTGTTAGTCAATTTGTGTCACTATGAAGAAGGTGTGAGGAAATACCTGAGGTAATCAAATTAAAAGGAGAAAAGGTTTATTTTGGTTCATGGTTTTAGAGGTTTCAATCCATGGTCACTTGATCTGGTTGCTTTGGGCCTGTGGTGGCACAGAGTGTCATGGCCAGAGTGTGTTGCTGAGGAGGCTGTTCATGAGTTTCATCAGGAACTGAAAAAAGAAGAGCCACATTCCAGTGTCCCCTTCAAGGACATGCCCCCTGTGACCTCACTCCTCCTGCTAGACCTATCTCTTCAAGATAGTGCCATGGGCGGGGACCAAGCCTTCAACACATGGGTCTTTGGGGGATATTCCAGGTGCAGACCATAGCACCTGATCAGGGTGTATGGTGGTGCTTGTAGACGTGGCGTGGGCATGCAGGGTAGAGGGACAATGGCCTTCGAAGTTCTCAGTGTAGGGAAGAAGGTAAAAGTAAGGTAAGAAAACAGTGCTTTTATGATTTTGTGCCGCAGTCCGGCTGCAGCAAAATAACCGGGGGGTGAAGAACAACTTGTGTACATTGATATAGCAGGAGTGGGAGCCGTTTATTGTAGGACAGGAGGGGTATATATACATTCCACACAGCTTATCTAATTAACATAAACTAGATACAGCAGTCAACCAATAAGGAATCTCCACAATTAATGGCTCACTGGCGTTACTTCACAAACCACTCCCTCTGGCAAAATGCCAGGCACCATCCAGACTTGTTTACAGACCCTAACAATTTTGTTCTCTGATTCTAGGATCACTGTAGATAATATCCAGATTGTTCACAGTTCACCAAAGTCAGTGTTTGAAACACGCTTCTGTTAAGAGACAATGGATGGTTGGTTCCAGGAGCCAGGAAAGGCCTCTCTGATCACAAGGACAGGCAGTGTTCAGGTCACATGGTGTTAAAGTCCCATGGCAGTAGTAGCACAGTCAGCAAAGGGTAGCTCAACTTGAGGACCGGTGCTCAGGAGGCCTGCCCCGGGGGGCTGGGATCCTAGGGAGGCCAGGGACTCTAGTCAGAACTGGGAGCTCAGGGTCAGCCTCTGGTGATGGCAGGTTGTGGCTAGCATTGGGATTGCATACACTGTTAGGTTTTTCTGTTGTTTCAGACCAGCTTTTTGTGTTCTGCTATGACTGTAGAGCTTTTTTTTGTCAGGATCTCCTTGGGTTTGTAGTTGGAGGGTTAAAGAAAGAAGGAAAGTCACTGGATAACTTGTCCTCTTGCTGCAAAGTTCTCAGCTCTGTGCTGGTGACATCAGAACTGGAAGGAACCTCATAAGTGAGGAAACTGAGGCACAGCAGTAAAGGCAGGAAGGGATTCTGCTTGACTGAAAAGTTGTGATAGAACAACAATTGGAGAAAGATTAGAAATGTGAATTAGTTTGTGTTCTGTTGCTGTAACGAAAATCCATGGCTGGGTATCATATAAAGAAGTTGGATATTTTAGCTCAGTGTTGGAGGCTGAAATCCTGAGATCAGGCAGTCTCATGCATTTTCCTCTGGGAAGGGCTCCTTTGGTTACAGCATGTCCTAGTGGATAGCTTTGTGGTGAGAGCATGTGAGAAGGAGAGGTCACATACAGAGACAGGGAGTCAGAGCAAGAAGTAACCAGTGTTGCTCTGTTATAGCAGTCCCCTGCAAGACTGACCAGTTCCCATAAAACAGACTCAGTTCCTCCAAGGGCATGCCAAGAGGGCCTGAGCGCCTCCCAAAGGGCCCACCATCTCTTAACATCCTCACACTGAGGACCACACCTCCAACACAGCCTTGTGGACACACACAGATCACATCAGTGTTCCTTTACTTGTGGGGGGAAAAAACGATTATCTAAAGAGGAGAAATTGAAGTTGAGTTGGGGAATAAGAGGTTGAGGTTAACATTTATCTCTGTATTGTTGTATCTGGTGACTCTGAGGGATGAGACAAAGTGATGTCCATAAATAGCCATAGGAAGTGGGGTGCAGGGCTGGGTGGCTCTGAGTTTAGAGTTGTATACGTAGTGTTTTCAGCATACAGCTAGAGTGCCATTGTCATGAAATCACTGGTGGGTTTCTGGAGTGCTTTGTGTCAGCTCATTAAGAGGCAGGCAAGTTTATATGCATCTTTTCCCAGCAGCCCTTGCATGTTGCTGCTTCTCCTTTGCAGAGAAGGATGAAATTGCTTATCTAGTCAGCTGAAGCTGTGACTTGGGACCATCCTGCCTTGCTCCCCCTCAGCCCTTGTAGAGACTAACTGCACAAGGAAGAGAGGCCTGAAGATGCCCTTGGGCTCCATCAATAGTGTGTAAGGAATGCATGTTTTTCCAGGGGGGAATCAATGCTGCGCTGGGGAACATGGAGGAGGACAATTGGAGGTGGCATTTCTACGACACTGTGAAGGGCTCTGACTGGCTGGGGGACCAGGATGCCATCCATTACATGACGGAGCAGGCCCCTGCCTCCGTGGTCGAGGTAAGGGAGTGTGATCAGCCAGGGGAGGGGGAGGGGGAGGAGACACGCTGGCAGAGGCTTTTCACTGCAGCCCTGGAGCTGAGTCACCAAGGTAGCTTCTGTAGCATTAGTGTTTTCACAGAGTACCTCAGTGTGGGGTTTGCAGAGTCGTGTTAAGGTTGTAGTCCAAATTCCCAGAGTAACTTCCTCCTTTAAGGTTCCTGTTTGTTTTTGCGTTTTATAGCTAGAGAATTACGGCATGCCATTTAGCAGAACAGAAGATGGAAGGATTTATCAGCGTGCATTTGGTGGACAGAGTCTCAAGTTTGGGAAAGGTGGGCAGGCCCATCGGTGCTGCTGCGTAGCTGATCGGACCGGCCACTCACTCCTGCACACCTTATATGGAAGGGTGAGGCCGCCTGGGTGTACAAGAGATGGGATGCAGGAGAGAGGGAATGACTAAAGGATGGTGGAACCAGCTCATGGGTTAAGAACAATAGGATAACTCTTTAAGAGCTGTGTAGTAATTGTTGACCTGAAAGTACTGAAAAGGTGCTGCAAAAGCTGTCATTTTGACAATTGTATTTCCTACATGTATTTCGGAAAATTGAATGTCCACTTCAATGTGAAAGTTGAACTTATGGCCATCACAATCCAAGTATAAAAATAGACCTGTCATTTTAAGATTGTTTTACTGCCTTCAAGTTCCTGAATTGATTGGTTTGTTTTAATACTTAACTATAAAACTGCTTGAAGACTTATGAGACAGTAGTCATTGGATGGTCAGGGCCTGCTGTGACACAGCTAAATCATCAGTATTCTGAACTGTTTTCAGATAGGTGGGTCAGGTGATAAATTTCCAGGTCTTCTCTGAGGCTTACTATGATGACAGATGCATAACAGGACTTATCTGTACTACAGTTCTCTCTTGGGAGTTGGCTCAGGCTCCTGAGAGCCTCTTGGACTTGCTGTGAGGACTATCAGGTCCAGCCCTTGCAATGCTGCCCAGTGGGGACCTCTCTGTGGGTGGAATTGGACATGTCTATACTGTGCAGCTGGGCAACGCCAGCCCACATACCACTGCAAGTGGGGCTGTGTGACCGGGAACTCAAGGTTTTGTTGTGGACCTTGTGGTACGTGGGTCATACTCTGGCACCATGCGGCCTCCAGAGAGCCTGGAATGCCACCTGAGGTCATGCCAAAACAAGAGGTGTTACAGAAACGTGAGCATGTGCTCCATGGTGCAGGTCACCAGGGGTTTGTTTTCTCCTGTTAATGTGTGATGCTTTCTTATGTTCTTACATAAGTGCCATAAGCTTTGATAATGAGAACTGCAGCCTGTTATCTATTTCAAACCCCAGTGTCATCTTAGCATTATGGAGTCCATTCATTAGAGCCAAATCAAGCCCTCTAACCTTTCACATGCTTAACCATTCGCATTTTAAACACATTGGCTTAACACTTAACTTGAATGTAGTTTAGAATGTGGGGTCCTGTGTCCCATAGTCTTTGCGCTACGACACCAGCTACTTTGTGGAGTACTTTGCCCTGGACCTCCTGATGGAGAGCGGGGAGTGCCGTGGAGTCATCGCACTATGCATAGAGGATGGATCCATACATCGCATTCGTGCGAAGAACACTGTCATTGCCACTGGGTAGGAACCTCATTTTTGTATTTGCATTTCATCTCTCTAGAAAAGTTGAGTTTCATAGTTTCTTTAATAAAATGTGGGCATTCTAGAGTAGTGCTTTGGATACAGTGTACCATTATGTGGCAATGGCCATTCCCAGGCTTGGTCTGTGCCTGGTAGAGGTAGCAGGAGATCTGTGCTGCCCTTGGTCATAGCAGAGGCTGTCCTCAGGGTGCAGTGGAACCTTAATGATCACTGTCCCTCCTACTCTAAGGTGAAGGAACTGAGGACTTGTGATCACGAGTCACGTGACATTTCCTGGTGTAACCTTTCTGCTTTAATGGTGACTATACTGATTGGTTCATAGAATAGAAAATTGCTATTTGTGCACATGATGAAAATAATTAAATTTTAGTTTCTGTACCATCTTGTTTACCATTTTAAAAATTAAGAAGTTCCTCCACAGCAAAGGAAACAATTAGCAAAATGAAAAGACAGTCTGTGGATTAGGAGAGAATATCCACAAACCATTTTGTCTGGTAAAGGGATGATATCCAAAGTGTATAATCAATGCATCAACTAAATAGCTACCCCCAAAACATCCAATAAACAATGGGCAGGACCCAAATGGACATTTACCAAAGAAGACAAAGTGACCAACAGGTTTGTAAAAGGGTGGTCAGCATCATTAATCATCAGGGTCCGGAAGGCAATATTGTCTTATACCTGCTAGAGTGGCTGAGGTTAGAAAGACATGAGGTGACAAGGATGTAGAGAAAAGGGACCTTGGCAGACTGCTGGCAGGAGTAGAAATTGGTATTGTGGAGTTCCTGAGAAAACCAAGGCAGGAACCTGCTGTGTGATCCTGCAGCCCCACTGTGCTGAGGAAGGAAGCCAACATATGACTGAGGTCCCTTCACACACATGGTTCACATAGCCCAGGACAGAGGGAGCCCAGGTGTCCTTTGCTGATAAAGGAGATGCTGTGTAAATAGGCCATGGATCATTATTTAACAAAAGAAAGACGTAAATCCTGTCATCGGCCACAGTGTGTTTGAACCTGGAGCATGTTGTGCTAATTAAAACAGCCCAGTGCATGATTTCACTTACACATGGAATCCAGAAATGTCAGACTCTAGGTGGTGATTGCCAGGGTGGGGGGAGTCACAAGGGGAATGCTCTCTGAGACTGAGCACACAGCCTGTGGGCCTGAAGCTGGCCAGGAGAGTTGATCTCCGTGTCCGTGTCCCCAAGAGAGGATCTTTAGGTGAGGTGACACATGTGTTGATTATCTCCCTGGTAGCAATCCCTTCAGTGAGTGCACTTATCAGAACATCCTGTTTTGAATCATATATCAGTGAAGCCAGGAGACAAAAATATAATAAGAAAAATCCTTAATGTTTACTATTTTTTTTTTTTTTATCATGAGTATCTCTTCTCTGTGCCCTTGTCCTGCATCCCAGGTGGCACCAGTCAGTGGCAGGGCCTCCCCTCAGGGTGGTATGTGCACTTCTTGAAGATAGTGCCCTTGAGGCTGCTCTGTCTGTTGTGTGGTCCCAGGGGACTGGAGGTCCTGCCTGGGCTGTTGTGCATAGTCATCATGCTCTTTCATTTCCAGGGGTTACGGGCGGACCTACTTCAGCTGCACGTCTGCCCACACGAGCACTGGGGATGGTACGGCCATGATCACCAGGGCTGGTCTTCCCTGCCAGGACTTGGAGTTTGTGCAGTTCCACCCCACAGGTAGGATGGGTGCCTCGCTGGCCTGGGTGGGCTTCTGTCTTGTAAGCATGTGGTGCGTCCTCGGTGCTCTCCAGGCTTTACTTACTAACACACTTGATTGTGATTCTTGGGTTCCCAGGGCAGTTCAGGTCTCCATCTTTTATATATATATATATAATTATTTGTTTTTCAGTTTTAGGTGGACACAATATCTTTATTTCATTTATATGTGATGCTGAGGATCGAACCCAGTGACTCATACATGCTAGGCGAGCACTCTACCATTCAGCTACAACCTCAGCCCCTTGGGTCTCCATCTTTGCACTCCCAGCAGAGCCCAAGCCCTGCCTCAGTGGTGTTTGCCCCAGTAGCAAACAGGGATTGCTCAATTTCTCCCACCCAGGGGGCAGGTTTCTCATGTACTGCTGTGTCCAGAACTTGAGTTAGTATTTCCTGAGTGGAAGTTTGAGAGCCAGGGAAAGTATGTGACCAGAGAAGTGGCTGGGGTAGATCATGGGAAAACATGGGCCCCTATGGCTGTAGGATATGAAGTTAGGACTCAGCTTTGACAGATGGCACTCTGTTGCTGGGGTTAGGGTGTGGACAAGGAGGAAACTAGTTGTGGGGGAGGTTAGTTTTTCCTGGGCCAGCAGATGGCTGGAGATGCTAATAACGTGGGTCGGAGACTTGAGTTCAGGGAAAAACCCAGAGTCAAGGCTGAGAGAGGAGCCTGTTGCTTGAGGCAGTGTACCCACCACTCCTGGGTTGCTCCCCTGGCCTCTGCAGTGGTGAAAAGCCAGGGCTTTTTCCCTTTCCTGCCAGTACATCCCTTCTGAAGCCTGCCAGGGATGGAAACTAAGAAATGTAGATGTTGGTTTTTGTTACTTTTGTTGTCCAGTGAAATGCCACCAAGCTTCAGGGTCCCACTCGTGTGCTATACCTGGGGCTCCATTTCTTTTCCTTCACAACTCTAAGAAATAAACCACCCAAAAAATGGCACCAGGAAAAACAAAAGCAAAAGAAATGCAAGAATTTGTATTCTTATTTTTAAAGCATGTAGTCCTTTTGGTGTGCTCAAGAAAATTTTAACTTCAAATTACATTCGTTTGTTCATTTGGTCTCTCCTGTTAAAATTCAAGGCTTGGCATTTCTCATTTTCATTACACTGAGGGGACAGGGCCAGAGGCCAGGAACAAACAGTCTGCACCATGCTGCCCAGGTTTGGACTTAGGTTCTGCCCTTGCCAGCCATGTGGCCTGGGCCAGGTAGTCAGCTCTCACTTGCTGTATCTGAGGATGGGGTGAAGCGAGTAAATATGTGCACAACAGCTGCCACCGTCCACAGTCATGAGAGTTGCTGTCATTGTTGCCATTTGAATTATTTAGATAGGAATTTTCCATGTTAGGTGCTCTTAAGGTAGTCACTGTCATGGTGTAAAATTATTTTCAAAAGTTGAAACAGTAAGGTTTTGAACAACCAATAAAAAAAAAAAAAAGAATACAAATAAAATTTACCTGATTCCAGTAAAAAAAAAAATAGTTGAAACAGTCAAGGTGGTGATCATGCAAGGGTTTTAATCATTGGCAGCCCATCCTTCCTAGACTTGCACTTTCAGCTCTGCCTCTGCTTCCTACTCCCCTTCAGCATTTCCTTTTTTCTCTTTGCCCTTTCCTCTGCCAACAAAGTGTCTTGAAAAAATTGGCATTTGAGATGTGTGTTTGATGGTTGTCAGCTTACAGGTGTTTAATGACTTGCGTTTTTGCAGGCATATATGGCGCTGGCTGTCTCATTACTGAAGGATGCCGGGGAGAGGGAGGCATCCTCATTAACAGTCAGGGCGAGAGGTTCATGGAGAGGTACGCCCCTGTCGCGAAGGACCTGGCATCCAGGGACGTGGTGTCTCGGTCCATGACTCTGGAGATCCGTGAAGGAAGGTCTGTATGATTCACCCAGGGATGTGTGAACCCACCATGCAGGTGGGCACACACTCATGTTCTTCCCTTCTGCTTGGTGGCAGTTGGTCACCTGGGCTGTGGTGCTGTGAGTTCTGCACCCCTCACCTGCACATGCCCACAAGGATAAAGCTACCTATTGTTATTTGACTGTTCTCTGCTGGTTTGTGTTATTTCCTAAATACCTGCATTTTGAGTTTTAGCCAGTTCATTGTAAGGCTTTCTCACCTTGGTGTCTGCGTAAGGGTGAGTGTGTGACAGACACTCTGTATGGGGAAAGACATGCACAGCCTGAGATTGGCACACAAGCCTGAGGTGTGTTCAGGCCTACCAGTGTTTCAGCAGCCTTCAGGGTGTGTGTTCTCTTGTCTTCCAGTGAAACAGCTTTAGGCTCCCCATGCCTGGCCCTGTTCTCTGATATGGGACACTTATTCCATGTCTGCTGGCATGACCTGTGTAGGTTTTACAGGTTTATATAAAAACGGCCAGCAGAGTTTTGGAGTAATGTGAGTTAGGTGAGGGCAGGGTTTTTGTTCTGTCCTCAGCTGTATCCCAGCACCAGGATAGTACCTGGGACGCAGCTCATGCTCAATAATATTGGTAAAGAATGACCACAGCAAAGGGGAGGTTTTCTAGAGTATCAAAAAGCATTGAGCCAACTGGATGGCTCATACCTTCAATTCCAGCAGTGCAGGAGTCTTGAGACAGGAGGATCACAAGTCAAGGCCAGCCTCATCAACTTAGCAAAGCTCTAAGCAACTTAGTAAGATCCTATCTCAAAAAGCAAAAGGGGCTGGCTGGGGTTGTGGCTCAATGGTAGAGCACTCGCCTAGCACGTATGAGGCCCTGGGTTCGATCCTTAGTACCACATAAACATAAATAAAATAAAGGTGTCGTGTTCAGCTGCACCTAAAAAAAATAAATATTTAAGAACAACAACATAAAAAAAAAAAAAAAAAAGAGCTGAGGATGTAATGCAGTAGTAAAGTGTTCCTGGGTTCAACCTAGTCCTTCCCCCAAAATGTGTTGAGACTCACATGCTATTCATCCCTCATGTTGAGATACTCTATGTTGCAGAGGCTGTGGCCCCGAGAAGGACCACGTCTACCTGCAGTTGCACCATCTGCCCCCTGAGCAGCTGGCCATGCGCTTGCCTGGCATTTCAGAGACAGCCATGATCTTCGCCGGTGTGGATGTCACCAAGGAGCCAATTCCTGTACTCCCTACTGTGCATTACAACATGGGTGGGATTCCCACCAACTACAAGGGACAGGTAACAACAGGGCCCATCCCACTACTGTCTCCTTAGATCTTAGAGGGAATATCAGACCTCTTTTTTTTTTTTTTTTTAATGTTTGGTGGTTTGTACTTAAAATCACCTTTGCTGCAGGGTAGGGGAGTTCTGTTCTAGGCTTGCATTTACTTAGTAATAATAGCTCCTTGCCAGTGGAGCTGATAGATAAAATACCAGATATAGTTTTCTATTTTGTAACTGCTTTCCTGTGCAGTATTATGTTGTTTTTACAATGACTATGAGTCAGTGGTTTTTATGATTACATCAGAGTGGTGCGTAGTGCATAGGAGTTCGCCACTCGCTTGGTTCCTGGTTGGAGCAGGGGCAGGGAGTGGAAGGGTCTGAAGGCTTCCTCCTGCTGTGGTTCCACCTGCCAGGGAACATAGTTGGAGCTGAGACTTCATGGTGGTCCATTCAGGTGAGAAGTGGGGCTCAAGGAGTGGCTCCTGGAAGGGAAGGCACAGGTGCCAATGTGGGGTTCTCTGACCCCCATCACGGAGAGTGTTTGGAGGCAAATGGGATTTGGGGATGCAGTCAAAGGATTCCCTAGGAGACAGATACCATCCTTACTTCCCTTTCTTGATCTCAAACACAGATAGCTGCTCAGTTAGAGGGGGGACTTAGGGTTTAAGGCATCTTATTGTCTCACCCACAATCTTTCTTACAGGTGCTGAAACATGTGAATGGCCAGGATCAGATTGTGCCCGGCCTGTATGCCTGTGGGGAGGCTGCCTGCGCCTCAGTGCACGGCGCCAACCGGCTTGGGGCAAACTCCCTCTTGGACCTGGTGGTCTTTGGCCGGGCCTGTGCCCTGAGCATCGCACAGTCTTGTAGGCCTGGTATGTGTTCTCTTCAGCCAGAAGTCATAATTTATTGCTGGAAAGGAATTCTAGTTTGAGGAAGCAGGAGGCCAGACAATGTGGTAGTGATGTCAAAATGTCAACACTGGTGGGTGGGTTGGGAATCTCAGTAGTTAACATAAGGGTTTCTTGGTTCCTTTTTTTTTTTTGGCAGTCATGTTCTGCTTAGAAAAGTCACTGCTAGAAAATTGTTATCTTGAGGAGAACTTTATTGCACATTATTTGCCTAGTGTAAATTGTTTACTTGCAATGAAATTTTGAATAGTAGGTATCAATGAATATATAACTTCTGAGTACTTATGGAAAAATGGTCCCACCCTGAAAACTAAACAGAACTGACCCCTATTAACAAAGGCACAATGCGAGCAAACTTTGGGTTGTGGCCCCTCCCTTTTGAGAGTAGGTTTCAGTTATTGGCTCTTCTTACACTGGAGAAAAAAAGGTGCCACGTGCTGGGGTGCAAGTCTGTTCCAGACACCAAGAACAGGAGGTCACTGTGCCTCCAACCTCATGGAGGCTGTCTTGCCCCTTTGCTCAGGACGTCCCATAGGACCCTGGCCCTTTGCCCTGTTACCTTGTCCTGATGCTGACTGTGGAACATTAGTTCTGTGGTTCTTAGACAGTAGGGTTGAAGCAACACGCTGGAAACAGCACAGTCTCCACCTACTGATAAAACAGCTGGAGAGGGGCACATGGCCAGAGGGCAGGGAGCATCTTCACAAGCTCCCTGAATCAGGCACGGCTTAGGCCACCTGCAAATGATGCTTTGTACTTGTGCAGCTTCTCTATCCTCAGAGGGAGTGTCCTCCCTCTGTGGCTCTGCCCTTTGAGCCGAGGATCAATAAAAAAGGGCTGGGATGTAGCTCAGTAGTAAAGTGCCCCTGAGTTCAGTCCCAGTACTAAAAAATGAAATAAAGTAAATAAAATGGGCTCAAGGTCAGTAGGTGGTTTCTTGGGTCAGGATGGGCCAGGACAGTTGGTTCATTTACTGCCGTGGTTTCCAAACTCTTTGAATGCCTTTGAGACAAACTTGAGTGTCTTCAAATTCCATCTGGTTTTTCTAAATATTTTTGGAAAGTTGAATTCCAGTGTTTTGATATTGTTTTTAGGAGATAAAGTTCCTCCAATCAAACCAAATGCTGGGGAAGAATCTGTCTCAAATCTAGACAGGTTGAGATTTGCTGACGGGAGCATAAGAACCTCGGAGCTGCGCCTTAGCATGCAGAAGGTAGGATAGATTCCTGCGCCCTGCATAGTGTGAGGCCCACGGCAGGACATATAGCCCTTGCCATATCAGGGAAGTGTGTTCAGGTGGATAGGAGCCTCACTTAGACAAGAGTGCGCTCTTTTACACAGGCCATAACTCAGCACTCCAGGGCAGACACAGTGGCGCTGGGGGCTTGGCCTTCTCTGGTACTCTGTGCTTTAGCTTGGCCTCCATCTGTAGACCTGCCCTGGCTGTCAGGTGTGTCACAGCCAAAGGAGGGAGTATAGCAAGCCCTGTTGGAGGCCAACACAGCCCCAATGCTTGTATCTCTTTGCCCAGAAATTAATCAGGTCAACTCACCTAGTTTCCAGCTGCTCTAGAGATGTTGTCAAACTGAGCCTATTGAATCTAGCCAAAACCAGGAAGTGGGAGAAGGGCATCGGGTAGAGGCTGACCTCTGTAGGTTCACCTGGGTGGACACTGTCCCCAGGGAGGTGGGACAGGATGGTGGGTAGCACAGGCCACAGGGCCTAGAGAGTACCTAGTGAAAGGTTCAGTCTGAGAACCTCAATTTTAATTTTAATATGAATGGCTAAAAGTAGTTAATGGCTTTGTAATGGATTATAGGCTTAGATGGATAAAAATACTAAAGAAAACAGGAAGCAGATTCTTCTATTATAGGGATTCTTGCTCCATGAATGAGAGCTCTTTCTACTGGAAATACTTGCAGTAATTGATGCATGTAAGTTTTCTGAAGAGAGGCCCTTTCCTTGGGTCCTGTCTGAAAGGGGTCCAGTGACAGACACAGACAACACCAAGAGAATGTTACCATTCTTCTTAGGACTGTTTTCAGTCTTAAGGAGAGAAGGTTGGCAGGAGGAAGGCCAGGTGGCCAGGTTATGCTCTGCAGGGCCTGGCAGTTGCAGTGTTAGGGTGTAAGCCAGCGCAACCTACGTTGGGTGTGGAAGCTGCACGCCTGTGAGGCAGGTGCTTTGACATGGAGACACTAGAGGCACCCACCAAGCAAGGCTCAGCCAGGCTACTGTTCTGTGCCAGGCACCATCAGATGCCAGACTTAGCCCTGAGCAAACAGACCAAGGTAGAATATGTATTTCCAAGGTGAAGTAATTTTCTTGCCAACTGTAGCTGTCACAGAAAAGATTGAGGGCTGGGGATGTGGCTCAAGCGGTAGCGCGCTTGCCTAGCGTGCGTGCGGCCCGGGTTCGATCCTCAGCACCACATACAAACGAAGATGTGTCCGCCGAGAACTAAGAAAAAACAAATAAATGTTAAAATTCTCTCTCTCTGTCCCCCTCTCTCACTCTCTCTTAAAAAAAAAAAAAAAAAAAAAAAAAGAAAAGATTGAAAGAATTGAGGTATATATTGGAAAGGAATTAACAAAATAATAATCATTCACAGATAAGATTATCTAAAAATTCCAAGAGAATAAACTTAAAAACAAATAAGAATGATATAAAAATATAGTAACTGGGCAAAAAATTCACTTAAAAACTTGGTTTAAATTCCAGGATTTTGGAGTGGTGGGGGGTCTTATGAGAAACCATTAAGTGATGGTGTGCATTACAACTTTATGATTATGTATTAATCTAAAGACAATTACTAACTGGGCAAAAGATTCACTTAAAAACTTGGTTTAAAGGACGGAGAGATAGGAGGTTGCAGGACTGAGGTCAGCCCAGGCAGTTTATCAGGACCTTGTATCAAATTAAAATAAAATGGCATAGCCGCATACATCAGTAATCCCAACAACTTGGGAGGCTGAGGCAGGAGGATCAAGTTGGAGGTCAGCCTGGGAAACTTAGCCAGACCCTATCTCAAAAAATAACAGGGACTAGGATGTAGCTCAGTGGTACAGCACCGCTGACTTCAATTTCCCAGTACCAACAATAATGATGATGATAAAGTAAAAAGGGCTGAGGGTGTAGCTCAGTGGTAGAGCACCCTAGGGTTCCATCTCCAGTACCATAAAACAAAAAGTTTACAACCAGAGCCACCACGCCTGGCTTACAAAGGGTATCTTGTTATAGTCCATGCAGAGTCATGCTGCAGTGTTCCGTGTGGGAAGCGTGTTGCAGGAAGGCTGTGAGAAGATCAGCCAGCTTTACGGAGACCTGAAGCACTTGAAGACATTTGACAGGGGTAAGCCCTGGGTGCACAGCTAGGATCTTGCCTTTTGTGGAGCCTGGTGGTGTCTGTCCTGTTTATTACTGACTCTGCCTTTCCTGTGGCTGAGGGTCAGACCAGTAACTCTGCCATGAGCCCACAGTGAGAATCCAGAGCATCTTCGTGGTGGGGTCCTGTCTACTTCTAATGGATCCTTGTATGTCTCCAGGAGTGGTCTGGAACACGGATCTGGTGGAGACGCTAGAGCTGCAGAACCTGATGCTGTGCGCTCTGCAGACCATCTATGGGGCAGAGGCACGGAAGGAGTCACGTGGTGCTCATGCCAGGGAAGATTACAAGGTGTGATTTTGGGATGCACTTCAAGCCTGGTGTCCTGCCCCCTGTTGTCATTCTGGCCCCCACCAGTCACATGCCCTTCCCCTCTGCATTTCACTCCATTTTCCCAAAAGTCAGTCCAGGAAGATGAGTTTTTCCCTGGTAATTATTGTCACCTTTGTTCTCACTGCCTTCAGAAACACAGGATCTTTCTTGCTTTGAATCAGCATCTGTTGCTGCCGGTGGCAGTGTGTTGGAGCAGAATGAGCCTGTTTCTTACTTGGGTGGCAGCCACAGGGGCAGCCAGGTCCATGGATGTAGTGCCTGAGGCTTGGGAAAGGAATCACAGATCTGGTTCTGGTACCGTGTTTTGACAGTGGATTGATGTCTGTGTGGAGCATGCATGTTAGATGCTCTGATGATGGCATCTAACATGCATGCTCCACATCAGGGGCTTAGGTGCAGGTGCAGGATAAAAGACACTAGCCCCAGGGTTCCATGAGTAAGATGTAGGCTTTCATTCAGGAGAGTGCAGGTGACATGGATGAACAAAAAAAATTGGCCAAGCAAAAGTTGCCATGTACTGTGATGCTTCACTGATTTATCCTGCACTGATCAGGTGGATGCAGGAAGAGATGGGCCAGTCTGACCTCTATGTGCCCTAAGGGATGGAAGCTTCTTCAGAGCATGCTTTAGGACTGAGGTGAACAAGCCTTCAGGTGCGAGGCTCAACCTCCCCACTGGGAAAGTTCATCCCTGGGAACATCTGCAGAGCCCAGGGACTGCTGCGGCCACTGGCCCAGGGTCACCTTTTGCCCACATGTGTCCTCAGCAGCATCAGCCAACTCTATTAGATCACAGGGATTTTTTCACTAGCATTCTGCTACTCTTTGAGAGCTTTTGAAATTTTTAACACAATTGTTAAAATATTTTAAAAAGGTTGAAAGAACTGGGTGTGGTGGCATGCCTGTAATCCCAGTGGCTTGGGAGGCTTAAACAGGAGGATCGTGAGTTCAAAGCCAGCCTTAGCAATGGCGAGGCGCTAAGCAACTCAGCAAAACCCTGTCTCTAAATAAAGAGATCTGGGGATGTGGCTCAGTGGTTGAGTGCCCCTGAGCTCAATCCCTGGTACCACACACCAAAGAAAAGGTGGAAAGAAAAGTTGGAGTTTCCCAGGGTATAGCGCAAAAAGCGAAAGTATTTGATAAACTTTAAGGTGCATAAATGAGATTTAATTCTCAACATTCACCTATGAAGTCATAGAAGATGTAGAAATGGACACTGGACTCATGCTGACCCTTGGCAGGCCCCAAATTGTCAGTGGTGCCCCCACCTGACTGGTCTCTTCACATCATTGTAATGTTCTCCGGGTTTTCTGATGAAGGGCTGTGAGTGGTGAGTAATATATACTTCTGGCATCAGGTGCGGATTGATGAATATGATTACTCCAAGCCCATTGAGGGGCAGCAGAAGAAGCCATTCGGGGAGCATTGGAGGAAGCACACTCTTTCATACGTGGATGTCAAGACTGGAAAGGTATGTGGGCTACATCTGCTCAGGGATGTCCTTGGTGGTAACCAGCTGAGAGAGGCCACTGTTGGCATATCTGAGGCACCACTGTAAGGACACTGAATAAGGCTTCTCCCTGTGCTGGCTCAGGGAGACTTGATACAAGGTCAGCTCCCTCGTGTGGGCCAGGGCAAGGGCCCTGGGCAGGGAAGAGATGGTGACTCTGCAGAGATGGGGACTCAGCCACTACCAGAAACTCCTTTGGAGCTCAGGGGGTCAGGAGAGACTCCTCCCTTTCTGTTCCATGGCCCAGCCTATCTGCAAGCAGCTGCAGAGGAGCCTGGGAGATGTGGTAGCATCCTTTGCATCCCCCATCCCCCTACAGCATGCAGAGAGGCAGCAGGTCAGGAGACCCCGGCTGAGGTCTTGTTCTACTGATGCATACCTGCCCTTTCGACACCTGCCTGGGTTTTAGGGTTTAGAAATAGGCCAGTGCATTGACACATGCCAACAATCCCAGCCACTCAGGAGACTGAGGAATGAGGAAGGAGGATTTGAATTCTAGGCCAGTCTTAGCAATTCAGTGAGGCCCTGACTCAAAAATAAAACTAGGGATGTGACTAAATGGTAAAGGCTCTGGGTTTGATCCCTAGTACAAACAAACAAAAAAAGATTTGGAAATAATTAAGTAATTTTTATCTTTAAGCTTCTCATTGCTTCTAAGAGTTTTATAATCATTTATCTGGGCCTCCAGAAATTAAGGTGAACTCTGTTGTTACTTATATAGAAACCTAATGTGTCTTTAATTCAGAAGTTGGCCATCTTTCAGCATAAGCCCATTTTTAATAATGTTGGATTATTTTTTCATTATAAAATACTCATTTTAGAAAGTCTAGAAATTATAAAAAGAATGAAACATTTACATCCATCAGAGATAATCCATTATTTTGAAATACTTTCCAAGTGTTATGTGAGGGTGTATATACTTTTCCTTGGGTACATATTTATGTATATAAAGGCTCATTTTCAAGTAGAAAAAACAGAGGGGATGGCTATCTATGGATCTTGCTCTACCTGCCCTGACCTTTCTCTTCAAGGTCACTCTGGAGTACAGACCTGTCATCGACAAGACTTTGAATGAGGCTGACTGCGCCACTGTTCCCCCTGCCATTCGCTCCTACTGACTGAACCTAGGGTCGCAGAGGTGGCTTCTGTCGCCATGTGTCACAGCTTGCGCAGCTGCTCCTATTGAACCTGTCTCGGTAGATGGTAGAGTCTGTGCTCATGAACAAGCAATACGCTTCGCAGATGTCATCAGTCCCCTGGCTAGCAGCTTGTAAGGACTCAGCATGAGGGACAGCTCTGCCTGTCTTTATCCCTTGCTTTATCATCCTGGGCACAATCAAAACAAAATGAGCAACCCTTCTTTATATTTCCAAACCCATTTAAAACCTGTACTGTTTGACTGTAGGCATATGTAATTTAGCAAATGTAATTATCTTATTATTCTGTCACATCAAAATCCAGAAATTCTGTTGTGTATTTTTAAGTAAAGAAGAATTTTCATTCCTGACAGTAAAGAAAGAGAACTTCTCCTTGTTCTTGTCCAGTAGTTCAGGAGGTGAACTTCTGAAGAACTGGAGCGACTAAACCCTGAATGAGACTGATGGAGTAAATGGGTTTCCTTTTAAGTCTGTTCTCTTTAAAGGTACAACTCATTTTAAATATGAATCCATTATTTATAAAATTCTTCCCTAAAAAGTTATCTGATTTTGTTTCTAAAGTGTCCTTTTGATAAGAAGCGTTTCATAAGGCAAGCAAGGCAGCACTGGGTTCACCTTGTCTTTGAAGTCGTGTCCTGTAGGGCAGTAGATGTGGGGACCCACATGTCCTCTGCCCTCATGGAGTCACATTCAAGATGTACAGTATGTCTTCTTCCCATGTCCAGTACCCAGTAACTATGTGTTGAATTCCTTATTTATTCTTTGTGCCAGACACTAAGCTAGACTTTGGAGAATGTTAGGGTGTGATAGAAATTAAAAACTGAATAATAGGGTGGACAATTCAGTAGAAAAGTTTGGATGTAGAATGGAGTTAGTGTCACTTTAGGTTCTTGACCATAAAACATAAAAGCAGAAAGTTAGTGGAAATCTAGCCACTGAAAATGCCTTAGGAGTTGGTTACCTAATGGAGCTGTCTCCTCACCTCCAGAAAAAGGGCCATTGTATTGTGCTTAGTGTTAAGAAGTGAGCTGTTGGTATGCACGGCAGTGTGGATGAGTCTCAGTCATCTCTCCTGGGAGGAGCAGCTGGGAGAGTACATACTGTGTGATTCCATGGGCGGAAGTCTAGAGAATGCAAACTAGCATCTTGGCAGGAAGCAGCCCAGTGGTTGCCTATAGACTTGGGATGGGCAAAGGAAACGTGAGTGGTGAATATGTTCGTTATCTTCTGCTAATTATACCTCAATAAAGCTGATAAAAAGGCTGACCAAAAATAAAAGGCTATATTGAGGTAAAATTTCTCATCTCTGTGAATGGCAAACACCCAGAAGTTTGCCTTCTTAATGTTTCCTGTGAAGTGATGGGATGCAAGGATCCAAGCATTGCTGGTGGGAAGGCAGAACCTTACAGACGTGGAAGAGAATAAAACTGCATGTATGTTTGCTTGCTGAGTCAGTGACACAGCAGTTCTACTTAAAGGAGAAATGAAATGAAAAGACTGCACAATCCTTCATGGTGACATTCTTAAAACCAGAAACAACAAAATGCCCATTTCTAATGGAAGGTATATTTATCCCAGAGAGCAGCAGGTGCTGCAGCTGTGAGAAGGAAAGGAAAGGGAGCCCTGTTTAATAGGAAGCAAATACAGATCTGCTCGCTTCTTTTTTTTTTTTTTCCCTTAACATACCTTAAAAGTAAAGTGAAGGATGAGGCCATGCAGGGGCAAGGCTAGAAGTGGGACCAAATAATGTTTTACATATTTCCAAATATGTAAATGTTTAAAAACAGTGTTAGAACTCGATGTTAGAATACAGCATGCTGTACAGATTTAATGAACTATAGCTATAGTTTAAAAACAAGTGAAGCCACTAAGTAATCCTAAATTCCATTCAGTAATCTCATTACTAGTTTTATCAGTATTAATCCTTTGAAATTGTGTGCAGTGTGGATTAAAGCTAATAACTATCTTAATGTTAAAACTAATTTTTTCCTGAGAAAAAGACAATAAAATCCAAGAATTAATTTATAAAA